TGTAGACAACAGACGTTCTTCTGAAAGGGTCCACAGGCTTTCTCAGACTTCCAAAGAGCCCATGACATAAACAAAGGAAGAACTGGACCAGATGATCTCCAAAGTCTTCTCCAGTTCTTGCTCTTATGATATATGAGCAAATCTATGCCTTTTCCTCCCTTAAAACAAAAAAGCCTCACCTCCTCCAAGAAGTCTATCCTGATTAAATGTATGTTCCATACACATTAAGTACTTAAGTGTTATATTGTTTCATGCATGACCAACTCTTTGTGATGCCTTTTTTAGGGGTTTCTTGGCAAGATACTGAGTGGTTGTCATTTCTCTCTAGCTCATTTTACAAATGAGTAAACTGAGGTAAACAGGGTTAAACAATTTGCCCAGGGTCACACAGTTAGTAAGTGTCAGAGGCTGGATTGGAACTCATGAAGATGAGTCTTCCTGATTCTAAATTCAGTGCTTTCTCCACTTCACCACCTACTTGCCTCATGGGTTTCTTTTTTTTTTAATCATTTTACAAATTTGGTTGCTTTAAGAATTTTATTGGTATAGAATTGAATCTATAAATAAATTTAGGTGGTACAATCATTTTATTGTTTTAGTATGACCTAACAATGAACACCATTGATCCCTACCATTATTTAAATCTTTTATTTCTATAAATATTTCTATCTTATGCATTTCATAGTTTTTATTTGAATTTCTCCTATTGTTAGTGATTTGAGATTAATGAATTTTTCCTTTTCTTCTGAAAACTGATCAAAACCTTTGGCCACTTATCTCTTGGGGAGTGACTCATTATTATGTGTTTATGATAATTCCTTTAATATCTTGGATATCAGACTTTTATCACAGAAACTTAATGCAAATAATTTTTTTCTACCTGGCAGTTTTTCTTCTTATATGAGGTGTATTGATTTTATTCATACAAAACTTGTGATATTTTGTAATTGAAACTGTATTTTGTTATTTAGGATTTTTTCTCTCTCTTATTTGGATAAGGATTTTCCCAATTCTCTAGCTTTTTTTTAAGGTGACCTTTTATATTTAGGTCATATATCCAGTTGGAGATGATTACGATTTACCATTTAAAATGTTTGTCAGAATTTAATTACTCTCGAATTATCCTCGTTGTCCCCAGAAGTTCTTGTCAATGGAGAATCTTTCTCCCAGAAATTTGTTTTCTTGAATTTATTGAATATTGGACTGCTGTATTTGCTTACTTCTGGCTCTGTCTTATCTAGTCATTTTTTAAAAAACTATTTTATAATAGGTAACAAATAGTTTTTAGTACTACTGCTTTATAAAATAGTTTGGAACCTGCTAATGCTATGACCTTTTTGCTACTTTTTAAAATTTCCTTTGACATACTAGAGTTTTCATTCCTCCAGATGAATTTATTATTATTTTTGTCTAGTTCTAGAAAAGAATGTCTTGGCAATTTTATTGGTAAAGAACTGAATCTATAAATCAGTTAAGGTAGTATAGCCATTTTTTGTTTTGTTTTTATGGCCTAACCATGAATATCATTGATCTCTATAATTATTTAAATTTTTTCATTTCATTCTGTGCATTTTACAGTTTTTTACTGAGTTTTTGTCATTTTCTTCTGTTTTTTTAAGGTATTGTATAAAAATGCTGCTAGTTTCTATGGATTTGTTATGTATCCTGTTACTTCATTGAATCCATTATTATCTAAATTTTCATTTAGATTTATTTCTTTACCTAAATCTAGTTTCTTCACTGACTTGCTGTGGTTTTCAAAGTAAATCAGTAAGTCATCTGCAAATAGAGAAAATTTTATATCCTTTTTATAGATATTTATGCTTTAATTTCCTATATTGACTTGTTTAAGCTAACATTTCTAGAACTATGTCAAATAGTTAAGAAAGGGGATCCCATTGCTTTACTCCTACACTTACTGGAAAAGCTTCCAGTGTTTTCCTAATGATGATAATACTAGCTTTTGGTATTAGAATTTTTTTATGATATTAAAGAAGGGTCCTTCAACATGTTTGAGTTTTTGAATTATTAACACAATCAAGTATTCTGTTTTGTCAAAGGTTTTTTCTATATATATATTGATAGTTCTGTTTTGTTGTTTATATTATTATGTCTGCTATTTTTTAATCATCCTTCTATCCCCAGTACAAATCAGATATGTTTTTAGTGAATAACTTATATAATATATATATATATATATATATATATATAATATATATATATATAATTATAATGTATACACGTGCATGTATATATACACATACATTGCTGTTGTGTCCACTAAAATTTTATGTTAGATTTTTGTGTCAATATTCATGAACAAGATTGGTCTATATTATATATATTTATATATATTATTATATATATTTATATTATATTTATATATATATTATATTAATATTATATTATATTATATTATATATATATAATAATATGTACAGATATACAGATGGAAACTGAGGCAAAAAGGGTTAAGTGACTTGTCCAGGGTCACACAGCTAGGAAGTATCTGGGGCCAGATTTGAACCGGGGAGAGTCTTCCCAACACTCTCCACTATGCCACCTAGCTGCCCTACTTGTGTATTCTTAATATACCTTTTTTAAAAAATTGTTTTTTGCCTTTTCTACTTGTCCTTCTTTAGGTTTTATTTTCATGGAGCAAAGTTAAATTAAGCTACTTTGCCTTGAGCCCTCAAGGGTTCTCCTGCTAGCCTTCCCACCTTGGTCCTCTTATGGGCCCATGAGTCATAAATCTTAAACCATGGGTGGAACCTTACTAGAGGTTTGGGTGTTTCTGGTGTTTTCCTTCACCTTAGTAAGCAATGTATACAGACCTTCCCAGGCTTTAGGGTGGGGGTGTGAATTGCCTCACTGGTGATTAGTTGGGATAGGTTTCTCTTTCAAGGCTCCTTCTGGAGGAGCAGTTCAGCTTAACCTAAGAGCCACCAAAGTGTACGTGCTTCCCTCAAGCAATTCTATGTCACGGTCAAGAAAATAAATTTGTCTGTCACGAGCTCTGAGTTGCCAAACTGTTGTAAAAAGGGTGACTATCCTGAAGCTGATCTGGCATTAGGAAAGAGCTGATCTATTCAGCCTTTGGACTAAATTCACCTTGAATGATCATCAGGAGAATCTTTCTACTTAGGGACAGCTAGGTGGTTCAGTGGATAAAGCACTGGGCCTGGAATCAGAAGACTCATCTTCCTGAGTTCAAATCTGGCCTCAGATGCTCACTAGCTGTGTGACCCTGGGCAAGTCACTTAATCCTGTTTGCCTTAATTTCCTCACCTGTGAAATGAGCTAGAGAAGGAAATGGCAAACCACTTCAATATCTCTGCCAAGAAAATCCCAAATGGGGTCATGAAAAGCTGGAAATGACTCAATAACAACAAAAGTTTATTGGAAAGAGCAGCGGGCTCAGAGTTAGAACACTTGGGTTCAAATTGCAGTCTTGTGTGACTTTGGGCAATATGTGACTTGACAGTCTCTAGGCCTCAATTTGCTCTGTAAAATGAGGAAGCTGGAATGAATGATTTTGAAAGTCATTGTTTTCTCTGTCTCTCTGTTTCTCTCTGTCACTCTCTCTCTACTTCTGTGTGTGTGTGTGTGTGTGTGTGTCTGTCTATCTTAGGTTCGGTATTTCTCATCTTCAAATTAACGTCTTTTACAATAACATCCTATTGCTAAATGCTCATAAGATTCCATTCTTTTCTCATTCTATTGGAATCTGGGAAGGAGGATGGGTATATATGGATAGTAGGAAGGAAATACAAGAGGAGTCAAAACTCTAGGTGTCAGTTTCCTCACCTGTAAAATGAGTGTGGGTAATCAAGGGCAATGGATAGTGGGGAGGAGGCAGAGGAAAGGTCCCAATTCTGGCTCACTTTCCTCACCTATAAAATTTTGACTAGATCATCTCAAAGGTTCTTTCCAATTCCTATGACCACTGGAAGGTGAAAAGGTAGTATATCTCCTAATGCAGGACGGATCACTTGGATAATGGGGCAAGCAAAGGTCCTTTGTAAGATCTTTTGTCTCGTTGGCTTTTTCTTTCTCCAGGAGGTGTCTGGAGAAGTGATGGCAAAAAAGACTGACTCTTGAAGCCTGATACCCCAACATCTCCATCTGCCAGTGCAGCTGATCTGACCTGATGGCTTTTTATTTCTTACTGAGAATAGCTAAGGCCCTCTGGCTCTTGACTGTTTTGAATGCCATGGAAAATTCAGGTATCTTTGTTCTCCTCCATCTTCCATACATGGTAATAGCTGAGAAAAAGAATAATGGGAGAGAATAAAAAGGGTGTGATTCAGAGCTAGAAGAATCCTCAGAAATCATCTAGTTTACTTCATTTTACAGATAAGGAAACTGAGACCTAGAAAGGTAAAATGATTTGTCCAAGTCATATAGATTATAAGAAGAAGAAATGAGATTCAAACCCTGGTCTTTCTACTCTCGACTCAGTGCTCTGTCCATTATACCATGTGAGGGAAGCCTTCTTCATACCTAGATTATCCAGAAATAGGGATAGAACATATCAATTTTGGACTGAGTCCATATTGCTATTCCTCAGGAGGATATACTTTGTTGGAATCTTCCTAGACTGTTAGAAGAACCAGTTCAGTGTCTTACATTTAAAAGCTTTGAAGGAGCAGCTAGTGGTACAGTGGATAGAGCACTAGCCCTGGAGTCAGGAGACCTGAGTTAAATCCAGCCTTAGACACATAACACTTACTAGCTGTGTGATTCTGGCAAGTCATTTAACCCAATTGCCATGGTGGGTGGGTGGGGGGAAAGTTTGTTGAAATGAATTAGATTGAATTTGTTTCACTGCATGACCTTGGGTAAGTCACCACCCTCTCTCTGCCTCACTTTCCCCATCTGTAAAAGGAAGATAATTTATAAGATTCACTTCCAGCTGATTCTATAGTTCTCTGATTTTGTGATGAGTTTTTCTCTGTCTTGTTGCCTCCTCTTCTGTGCTATTCTCCTGTATTCATATTTCTCTGTGACACACATTCTCTCATGACTACTCCATGACTAGGTCTTTTTTTGCCGGTGCTCTGTTCTACTAAGACACCTTAGAGAGCTCAGGACCTTGGCAGAGCCTCCTCTTCTGAAATACACAGTTCCCTCTCTAGAAGTTTAAGCAGTAGGATAGCCAACTCAACATGAAATCAAATAGAAACTAAGGGAAACACTTATATGAGAAAACAAGCAGGTATATGAGGGAGGCGGGGGTCCAGGGAGAAAAAGGAATAGGTTTTTGTAGGTCAGAGAGAAGAAAGATGTTCTCCAGTCTTCACATAGGATTGGGGGCCTGGAGTCAAGACTCACACAATAAGTGTGACACAGGTCTTTGTAGGTCTGCTGATAAAGTTTGGGGCTGGGCTGGGCATTCAGTTAGCATGTTTAGCGAAGCTAAAACAGGCCAGTGGATGAAATCACAGACCTGGACCACTTCCACATCCCCTACCATTGAACAGTAGAAAGTAAGCTTCTCAAGGGCAGATAATAGTTCCTTTTTTTTTTTTTTGGTATCCCAGCACACACTAGACACTGAGTGAAATTTGTTAACTTCAGTCATGGCAGTCTAGCCTTAGAACTAGGTATGTGACACAGCCCTACCATGATGAACTTGACCAGGAGTCATGTAGCCTCTGTATGAACAACTCCAATGAGGTGAAACCTGACCCCTGCAAAGCAAGTTTATTATACTTCTGTCCAATTCTAATTGATAGGAAGTTTTTCTGATACTAAGCCTAAGAGTAGTTATTCTGGTTACTAATTTTTAGTTACATTGATGCCTCTACCCAATTGCCTCCTGGTTCTGCCTCCAGGAACCAGATGGAACAAATCTAATCCCTCTTACACATGACAATCCTTCAAACACATTTTTGTTAGCATGCAAAGAAGGCAGAGACTAAACTTTCAGTTTACATAGAAATTTATGCTAATTGACATGTTCACTTAAAGTAGTTTCTTCTCTGTGCTGCATTGTTGCTTTGGAAATAAAAACTTGATTTTAAAATTATAAACAGTATATCCAAATATATCCAAAATAGTCAAATAACATAGTCAACAAGGGGCAAAATCTTATTATTAGAGAATGTTAGAAAGGGGACCAATTAACAGCCAGTAGCGCTGCCCCCACTACTTCTTGTTCTATGTCTAAGCCTTTTGGTAGAGCTCCATAAGAGCTCATCATATAGACGAGGAAAATGAGGAACCTGAGATCCAGATAAAAGAAAGTGATGGGCCCAAGGCACATGGGTAGTTTTTCCATTACCTAAATCTTCTCCTCTATCTTCCCTATCTGCCCCGTAAGAGAACCATCTCCTATAAAAAAGAATTAAAAGAAAAAAAGGAGGAAGACAAAAAAATTATCAAGTAGAAACATGGGGGAAAAAAAATCTCACATTATAAATAATGATCCACACCCATGGACCCCTACCTCTGCAAAGGAAAGAGGAGGATTAGGTGCCTATTAATTGGGGAATAGCTGAACAATTTGTGGCATATGATTGTGATGGAATAGTAGTGTGATTTTTAAAATGATGAACTAAGCCTGGAAAGACTTATGCAAACTGATGATACAAAGTGAAATGAGTAGACCCAGGAGAACACTGTACACAGTAATAGCAATATTGTAAGATGATCAGCTGTGAATGACAGCTATTCTCAGCAATACAATGATCCAAAACAGATCTGAAGGACTTAGGATGAAAAATGCTATCCATCCCCAGAGAAAGAACTGATGGAATCTGAATGCAGACAGAAGCATACTTTTTTTTTTACTTTATTTTCTTGGGTTTTTATTTTGGTCTATGTTTTCTTTTACAACATGACTAGCATGGAAATATGTTTTGCATGACTATACGTGTGTAACCTATATCAAATTGCTTACACTTCTCAGTGGGGGGGGGAAAGGGAAGGAGAGAATTTGGAACTCAATTTTAAAAATGAATGTTGAAAATTGTTTTTACATATAATTGGGGGAAAGAAAATGCTAGATTAAAAAAAAAACTAAATACCCTTTGTGCTTGAAGTTATCTCTCATTTATACCTTAGTGTGAATGAAGGCTGTAAAGGCAAATTTTAATCTGGCAGCAAGAGGCCTGGGAGCGCCCTGAAAGAGGAATACAGGAGAAACTGGAGATACTAAGTGTGTTTCTCCCTTTGTAATTTTGCCTAGGGCCAGCCCTGCCAGGAGAGATAGATTTACTTTTCAAACGTCTCCTAAGACAATGAGCAATGGATATTTCTGTAGCTGTACCTTGTTTAATATGGCCCTGGTCTAGACTTGGAGTTCCCATTTTGTGGGGACCCTTGCCTGATGATGGGTGTACTGTGTCGCCAGTACGTAGCAGAATCTCTGTGCCCTTATGTTTGGAGGACAATCCACTGATCCCTCTGGAGGCAAGCAAGTAACAACTTGCTTAAAGAAGTAGGAATAATAATGACGATAATAGCTAGTATTAATATAGCAAGTACTCCATGCCAAGCACTATGCTAAGCCCTTGACAAATATCATTCATTTGATCCTTACAATAACCTTGCAAAGGAGGTGTTATTATTATTCCCATTGTACAGTTGAAGAAACTAAGGCAAACTGATTTGCCCAAAGTCACATATCTAGTAAATGTCTGAATCTGAATTTGAACTCAGGTCTTCTTGACTCCAGGCCCAGCACTCTATCCACTGTACTACCTAGCTGCCATATAAGAAGGCAACTGGTAATAGCTAGTATTTATATAGTGCTTTAAGGTTTACAAAGTGCTTTACAAATATTATCTTATTTGATCCTTACAAGGACTGAGAGAAAGGTAAGTGGTATTATCTGACATATGAGAAACTGAAGCAAGCAGATTGACTTGCCCAGAGTCATACAGACAACAAATATCTAAAGCTGCATTTGAACTCAGGTCTTCCTAATTTCAAGTTGATTACTCTGTTCACCATGCCCCTGAGTACTATCTACAGGCACACCATGGTGAGGAAGGAATGAGGTTTATGACAAAGCCCCTCACTCCTTATTTGCTTCGGTATTTAATGTGATTTTTTAAAATGCTGGTATTTTGCTCATATTGCTTGTAATCATTTGATGTTATCCCATTATTGTATAAATTTATGTGTGAAAAATTATATATATGATTTTATGGGGTAATTTTGAAAACATATACCAAATATTAGTTCATATTTAAATAGTTATACATTAAATCATAAATTTAATTTAGTTCATATTTAAATAGCTTTTTTATGCATATGGGATACTTTCCCCACAACAGCTCCGTGAGGTAGGTAATGCAAGTATAATCATTTCCACTTTACAGGTAAAGAAACTGAGGTTTATAAAGGTTTCTTGAGTTTTAGGGAATCATAGATTTAGAGCTAGAAGGGACTGAAGAGGCCATATAGTCCAAGCTCTGCATATTACAGATGAAAAAACTGAGACTTGGAAAGATTAAGTAACTTGGCCGTGGCCACACATGTAGTGTCAGAGAAAAAATTCAAAACCAGGTTTTCCCTGCTTCAAGTGCACCCTTGGTTTACTATGTCTTGCTACCTCTTGCTTAGAACTAAATGGCAATAAGTGTTGAAGGCAAGATTTGAACCCAAGTCTCCTGACTCCAAATCGAGCACACTTTCCACTCCATAGCACGGCTTTTTATATGACTATAAGATATGGCAAAAGATGAGTGGCCCAAGAGAAGCAATAGTAAATTTATGCTTACGATTTACTCATAACAGTAACATGATGTAGTAAAATTGAAGTTTAGAGCCAGAATTCAAATCCTACTTCAAATCAGGTCATTATGTGACCCCCAAGGTCACAAATTACTTAACCTCTCTGGGCCTCAGTTTCCTCCTCTGTAAAAAGAGGACTTTGGATTTGATGATCTCTAAGGTCTCTTGTTAACTCTAGCTCTGTGATTCCATGGTGTTTGGTAAGTCTTCTCCAAACCTAATCTCATTAGCCCAACAAAGGCTCCCTATTTTCACTGCTCTCCATATTAGCTGCCATTGTTGAAGGCTTCCTCTTTGGGCCTTTGAGTTCTATTGTGTTCAAATATAGAACAGAACACAGAGAAGGACATTAGTGGTCTTCAAATTAACTGATAAAATTCCTTTCTATTCATTTAGACACCATATTTTTTCATTATTCAGAGTCCCTTTTTCAGGTAGGAGAAAGGGGAAGAATAATTATTTATTAAGTACTTATTATATCACAGAGACTCTATTAAGCATTTTATACATGTCCTTGTGAAGGGAGCTAGGCAAAGGCAAGTTGAGAACTCTGATAATAAATAGCTGCTTTAGGACAGAAGCTAAGAGTGAAAAGCACATGGGTCACAGCAGGAGGAGATAGAGAGGGAGCTGGAGTTCTTAGTTCAGGAAATGAAAGACGCTTCATTCCTTGTCTCTGCTCTATCCCCTTTCATCTTTTTTTGTCAGTGTGATAAATAATGGATAAATAATTTTGTAAAAAGACTTTGCATTTTCTCAGAAATACACACACATAAAAACATTTCATGCTTTCAATATGCTTTCTATGAAAATGATAAATTTTTAAAAAATGGTTTAAGCCTCTTGCACTTAATTTTTTTTAAGGATCCAGAATGCCTAAAGCTAGCTTTTGATCTGGAGAGGTGGTTTTCTTTAATCTATTTCTTTTGTTTATTCCTTCTTTCCTTCCTTCCTTCTTTCCTTCCTTTCCTTTCCTTTTCCTTCCTTTCTTTTTTGATGATGAGAGGAAGTGGATGGGTATTAGAAAAGAAAAAAATGGAAAAAAATCTGCAAGTGTTTTGGGAGTCCAGAAGAGAAAGGACAGTCTTAAGGTTAGAACCAGAATCATTTATAGAAGTTTTCATTCAGAAGCTTTTAACTAAGATGTTCCTGTTTGTCAATTACTGAGAATCTTTCAAGGCTAATTCACAGTCAGCCTTCTCCGAGAAGCCTTTCCCAGCTGCCCTAACCCCAGACCTCAGTGATCTCTCTGTCCTTTGAACTTTGAGTACATGATATCTATGCCAATCATCCATTTGACACTGAGCTTATGTATTCTTATTGGAAAGCAAGTCCTCAAAGTCAGAGACAGTGAATGCCTCATGCCTCTTGACCCCAGCACTTGGTCCACGGTAGTGTCTCACTAAGTGTTGATGATGATGGTGGGGGTGGTAGTGATGATGATGACATGATTCTGGAATTTGTTCACTTATTGCAGAGTTTGCGAAATTTGAATGCCAGAAAGAAGTATCTGCTTGCAGAAATGACCAGGTTGAGATAATCTGCAAAAGCACCATGGACTTTGATAGTATAGACTTGTTTTTCCGTAGTGACAAGAAAGACGAAGAACTCCTCTTCAGCATGACCACAGTAGGAGAGTCTCACCTTCAGCATGGGATGCGTCTCAGATTTAAGAATCAAGAAGCCACGTTGGTGATTCAGAACATCCAATTTTCCCATTGTGGAGTCTACCGGTGGCATCTTTCAGGCCAAGGGTCCTCAAATAAGTTCACTACACTAACTGTTTCAGGTGAGGAAAAGTCAGGAATGGGTACATTATAAGTTAGGGAACATTATGAGATCTTTCTCTCTTACGTTGGAAGTTCAATTGTTCAACTTGACAAGCATTTATTAAGTACCGACTATGTGTATCTAGTAGGTACAACATGAGGGAGATACAAAGTTTAGGTGTGATGGATCCCTGACCTCCTAGGGCTTACATGTAATTACTAAACATCTCAATACAGATAACTATAGTACTGGTAACTTTTTGAGGGATCTGGACCTGTGATTTCTTTGGTATGGAAACTCCCTCCTCTGATGAGCAACTCATTGATAGCTTGTGATCTCAAAGTTGCCTGAGGAAAATGACAGGTTAAATGACTTGCCCATGGTCGCACAACTAGATTGTATCATAGGCAGGGTTTGAACGCAGATCTTCCCAATTCCAAGGCCAGGTCTCTACCCTCTATATGTCTTTGCCTTTCAAAGATGGAACAGATACAACTGACTATCCTGGTTGGAGGAGTGTCTCTCAGACATCTTAACTATTTAAAGCAATGGACAGATATTTACCTCAAGGGCAAAAATTTCTTCCTTACCTTGTTGAGTCAGATCATTCAGAAAACTTCAGATGATCAAGATCTAGAACGTGCATTAATTACATAGCTGCATTCTCAAGCAGGCTGATTTTCCTAAAAGTCCTGGGAATGAATTATTGGGAATGAGTGTCATAAGTGGCTGTATAGCCACCCATCTGAGCCCCCTTATTTTGGTGTCATTGTTCTCCTAGCATGTTACAGGCCTGGCCCTTCAGATAGCAAGGAGAAGTGCCTTGCGGTTTAGCTGTGACTACCTCGTCCTTCCTTGATGACTAGATTTCCTATAACAAAAGCTAGCTAGCAATTTACATAGTACTTTCAGGTTTGCAAAAGTACTTTATAAATATCTCATTTCATTCTCACAACTCTGGGAGAGAGGTGCTATTATTATCCCCATTTAACAGATGAGAAATTTGAGGCAAAAAGAGGTTGGATGACTTGCCCAGGGTTATATAGTTAATAAGTATCTGAAGCTGGATTTTTAAAAAATTTACTTATTTATTTTCAGTTTTCAACATTTACTTCCATAAGATTTTGAAATCTAAATTTTCTTCTCCTCCCTCACTTCCCTCCTCCACAAGATGACATGCAATCTGATATAGGCTACACATATACATTCATATTAAACATATTTTCACATTAGTCATGTTGTAAAGAAGAACCAATGGGAGGAATCACGAGAAAGAAGTAACAAAAAAAAGAGAGCGTGCAAATAGTGTGCTTCGATCTGCATTCAAACTCCATAGTTCTTTCTCTGGATGTGGACAGCATTTTCCATCATGAGACTTTTGGAGATGTCAGATCCTTGCATTGCTGAGAAGAGCTAAATCTATCAAAATTAGTCATTGTACAGTGTTGCTGTTACTGAGTACAATGTCCTCCTGCTTCTACTCATTTCGTTCAGCATCAGTTCACGTCAGTCTTTTCAGGTTTTTCTGAAGTCAGCCTGCTCATCATTTCTTATAGCACAATAGTATTCCATTACATTCATATGCCGCAACTTGTTCAGCCATTCCCCAATGGATGGGCATCCCCTCAATTTCCAATTCTTGGTCACCACAAAAAGACCTGCTGTAAATATTTTTGCATATGTGGGTCCTTTTCCCTTGGAGCTGGATTGGAACTCAGATTTTTTAGATATCAGGTCCAGCTCTCTATTTATTATGCTACCTAACTGTTTCTTTAATGGGGATAGTGCCGCTAAGAAATCCATTGGCATGTTTGTGGTCAGAGAGTCTTCACAGGTGACTGGTGAAGCCTTTGAGATTGAAAGAGTTTGGACAGTGGTAGGATTTGGATGGAGGGCTTTTGACACTAGTGTTCTAAAAGCTGAGCCCCTTTAATTAGATGATTCAGGCTGTCAGTCTGTGATTCTGTATCTATTCTGCAGCTGGGTGGTGTAGTGGATAGAACACTAAGCTTGGAATCAAGAAGACATCTTTTCAAATCCTACCTCAGACATTTACTATCTGTATGGCCCTGGGCTAGTCACTTAACCCAATTTTCCTCAGTTTCCTCATCTGTAAAATGAGCTGGCGAAGGAAATAGCAAACTACTTTCCAATATCTTTACCAAGAAAACTCCAAAATGAGGTCATGAAGAATCAGACAGGACTGAAAAATGACTGAACAAACTGAATCTCCCCAAAAGGCCATTTTCTCTTTGACTCATGTATTCTTACCCAGAGTTTACAGTGGGAAATATCTAAATATATTCATGCCTAAGTTTGCATAAATGTGACTACCTGGGCCTCTAGTTCCCACATAAGCACTCAAGATAATGGATATATATTGGGTACAGCCATTATTTTACCCCACAGAAAATGCAAAAGATATAAAGGATTCACGAGGTTTCATAAACAAATACAAGAAACACTTAAAGTGTTATGATAGTCCGTAAGCTCTCCTTAGAAGGGAAGTGAACATAGGTTTGCCATCAAGACCACACACCAACATTATAGTAGACCCCTAGTTCTCCCACAGGGTCCCACAAACTCCCTTTTGGACTCATAGCACCCCTTACTATTTAAGCCCCTTGAAGGTAAACATACTTTGAAGTATCTAGTCAGGCAATTCCCTTCCCATCATAGGCAGTCCAAATAATTCATTGTAAAGGGTGGGAAACTAGGGGGAAGGGAATAAGGTCCTGACCACTCGCCCTGCCATGCATGGCTTTAATCTCCTTCTTGCCGCTCCTCCAGCTGTGAGGGGCCATGTGGGTGATCCTTTTCCTTATCCAAGAGGCATCCTACTCAAGAACACCTCTTTTCCCTCTAGAAGATACAATTCTAAAACTCTGAAATTGGGGTTACTCTTAAGGCAACACCCAAAGCTGGCACTACCCAAGAAATATCTCTTCTCTGTTAGAAAAACTGATTCTGTGATCACAGTCTAGGAAATCACGATGCCTCATCTTCTGCGCAGGAGGTTGGGGTTCACCGACATTAATTCCCTTCTTGAGTCATACGGGCAAGCACACGTCTCCCTCTGCCACGTGCTTCTAGAGGACATGTTCATATTCTGCTATCACCCAGATGTTGCTGCCATCAGAGGAGAATTGGTACTTGCTCAGTGGTTCTGCCAAAAGGCAGCTACTATTGCCTACTGGGTGGGAAAGAGAAGAGAGGTCCCTTCACTCCATCCCCCCCCGACTTTGGAAGAAAGGTATAAGAGCAAACGGGAGAAGGGGTAGAACAGTCCTGTCAGCTCTTTTTGTTGTTGAGGCAATCGGGGTTAAGTGACTTACCCAAGGTCACAAAGCTAGTAAGTGTCTGAGGCTAGATTGGAACTCAGGTCTTCCTGACTCCAGTGGTGGTGCTCTGTCACCTGTGCCACCTAGCTGCGCCTATATCAGCTCATTTTTTCTAAGCCAGAGGACATTCCCCCAGAACCTCTATCTTCTCAAGAAGACTAGCCAAACAAATTCTCTTGGGAACAACCTAAGTTACAGAAACTCATCAGACAGGAGATACCGGAGAGTCAAAGTGACTTGTGCAATAGTTACATAGGAGGTCCTCTGACCCCAAATAAGCGCTCTTTCTTCTCTGCTATGCTGATCTGGAAGCCTTCATTGACTAACTCCTATTCCTCCTTGAGGGGCCATTCCATGGACATAGTATTTTTTAAATGTTTCCATGCCATTTTGTGGTGGTAGTTCGGTCTCTACAATGAAATTGGAAGTTCCCTTAAGAGTAAGGATCACATCTTCTCATTCATAGGTTCACAGAATTTCAAAGCTAGAAGGGACCTTGGAGATCTAATCTAACCTCCTCATTTTACAGATGAAGAAAGCAAGGCTCAGGAAGGCAAAGTCACACGATGAGTTAGTTATAAATTATTAGATAAATTGTGTGACCAAATGAAGTAATAGTTGTAAAGAGCCTAGCACAGTGCTTGGCACACTGTTGTTCTTCAGTAGTGTCTATCTCTTTGTGACCCCACAGACTATAGACTGCCAAAACTGTCCATGGGATTTTCTTTTTTTTTAAATTTTTTAAAATTAATTTATTTTGATTTATCAACAATCACTTCCACATGCTTTTCAGTTTAAAATTTTCCCCCTTCCTCTGCACCACCCTCCCCAAGATGGCACACAATTTGATATAGGCTATATATATACATTCTTAATAAACATATTTTCAGATTAGTGATGTTGTAAGTAAAAATTAGAACCAATAGGAGGAACCATCAGAAAGAGGAAACAAAACTCAATGGAAGAGAAAAAAAAAGCAAATAGTATGCTTCGATCTGCATTCAACTTCCATAGTTCTTTCTTTGGATGTGGATAGCATTTTCCATCACAGGGCCTCTGGAGATGTCTTAGATCCTTGTATTGCTGGGAAGGGTTAAGTCTCTTAATATTAGTCATCGCACAACGTGGCTGTTATTGTGTACAACGTTGTCTTGGTTCTGCTCATTTCACTCAGCATCAGACCATACAAGTCTTTCCAAGTTTTTCTGAAGTCAGCCTGTTCATCATTTCTTATAACACAATAGTGTTCCATTACATTCATACTACAACTTGCTCAGCCATTCTCAATTGATGGGCATCCCCTCAATTTCCAATTCTTTGCCACCACAAAAAGAGCTGCTACGAATATTTTTGTACATGTGGGTCCTTTTCCCATTTGTATGATCTCTTTGGGATATAGGGTCAAAGGGTATGCACATTTTTATAGCCCTTTGGGCATAGTTCCAAATTGCTCTCCAGAATGGTTGGATCAGTTCATAACTCCACCAACAATGCATTAGTGTTCCAATTTTCCATGGGATTTTCTTGACAAAGACACTGGAGTGGTTTGCCATTTCCTTCTCCAGTGGATAAAAGCAAACAGGTTAAGTGAGTTGCCCAGGGTCACATGAGGTTGGATTTGAACTCAAATCTCCTGACTCCAGGGCCAGTGCTCTATCCACTGTGCTACCTTGCTGCCTCTGTGTGTGCCTGGCATACAGCAAGCATTCTGTAAATGTTAGGGGGGGGAAGAGAAGTTAGTGAATTCAGAAATCATACAATGATTGCCTTTCCCACCAGATCAAGCTGCTTTTTTTTTTAATACCACAACCTAGTATAGGACTTTGTGTACTTCTTGAAGGCAGATAGGCGACACAGTAGATAGATCATTGGACCTGGGCAAGTCATTTTAACCTCTAAGGCTTTGTTTTCTCATCCATAAAATGGGCATAACAAAGACATCGCAGGAAGTGGCTGTTATCGTGTACAGTGTTCTCTTGGTTCTGCTCATTTCACTCAGCATCAGACCATATAAGTCTTCCAAGTTTTTCTGAAGTCCCAACCTGTTCATCATTTCTTATAGCACAATAGTATTCCACTACATTCATATACCACAATATAGGCAGGATTGTTGTGAAGCTCAAATGAAATAATGTACATAAAGCATTTTGCCACCCTTAAAGCATTATATCATCATCATTGGTGGTGATGTTTTTATTGAGATCACGGGCTAGAGTGGGAGTAGAGTTCTCCAATGCATTGGTGTCTGAATCCTTTGTCCAACATTTCCTGTTCCTTCTGAGGGTGACTCCTCCTCCTGGCATTTATTTGTCTTCATATGATTTTGCTTCTTCCAGAACCCCCTACATCTCCAAGGAAAATGGCTGTCTGATCTGCAGAGCAACCAATGTAAAGGCAGGGAGAAGAATCATCTGGTCCAATGACCTGCCAAGAAGGCAGACGGAGTTCACATCCACTCAGGATGCCACAGGCCTATTCAATCTCAGCAGCTCTCAACTCTGGAATGACAGTTTCTATAGTAATCCACCATGCTGTAAAGTCATGGATGAGAAGGGCTCCCAAGAACTTTGTGCACAAACTTGCTATACCAGTGCCATCGTGGAAAAGTCCTCAGGTAAAGTCTGGAAGAATGTGTCAGAGGCAGCTAACAACTTTTTGAGTTTTTCTTGCTGTTTAGGCTAACAATTGCAATCCCAGTGGCATTTGGGACAGGACCCAGCAAGAAGCTCAGAAATACTGTGCAGGATGCTGAACTTTGTCACTTTGAGAAAATAATTCATTTTTTAAAGCACTTTAAGGTTTACGGTTTGCTTTTTGCATAATAACCTTCTGAGGCAGGCTGAGTGAATATTATTATCCACACTGCCATTTGCAAGACGATGAAACTGAGAGTGAGGAAGGGAATACAGCTCATTAGTGTAAGGGCCAGAATTTGAACCCAGGTCATCTAACTCTAAATGTAGGATTTTTGCCACACCAACCTCTCTCCAAAATGAGAACTCCCTCAGGTTCTCCTTGGTTGACCAGTCAATAAAATATTACCTAAGTCTAGGAATATTATTCTAAGGCAATGGTATCAGAGATATGGAGTCCAACTATGATACTGTAAAGAATTTGGTTCTCCCACCCTAGACACTAGTGAGATATGGTGCACCTCAGGAAGAATTTACATTGGTTGTTACCACCTCTACCCCTATGAGCTGAGTTACTATAGATACACACAAAACATACCACTCACTGTCCAACAGGATGGATGGTATTGGGTCTTATCTTGGCATATCCAGGATACTACCAACTAGTATCATTTACTTCTCCTTAAACCTGCCCTTTCCAAAGGCCTAAAAAATAAACACTCACATTGAGATTTCTTCATATCCATTTCTGCTAGTTCTCTGGTCTTCCAAGTAGCTTCTCTAAATGATTTCTAACTCTATTCTTTGAATTTTTAAAAATGCAGTTTACTTTCTTATCAAAGCAGCCCAATCATATTTTGAGGCACAGTGAAGGACTTCGGGACAAGAAGTAAACTTGTTCTGCAATTACTGTACATCCTTTTGTGAATAGCAGGTCAAGGGGCTAGTAAAGCATTGAAGGAGAAGAGGACACTTTGGGTGGACAAGCTTCTCCACCAAGTCCTTAACCTTCTTGGCTCATGGAGCCATAGGGTATTTGAGCTGGAAAAGGACCTTATTATCATCACCTTTATTTTACAAATGAGGAAGCTAAGACCCAGAGAAATGAAATGATTTGCCCAAAATAATATAGCAACTTTTTGGCCTAGTAGGGATGCAAATATAGATCTTTGAATTCCTAGTCCAAGGCTCACAAGTCATTTTTGCTTTTCTTTCATTACAGGTACTCCAACAACAAATCAAAGCAATACATGGTGGCTAATGATCATGCCAATTGCTATTCTGGCTTTGTCTCTAATTGCAATCTACAGATGTCTAAAAAAGAGACGGGTGTTGACTGGTCCTTCATCCATGACTGTCATCTAATCATATTGTTTTCCATCATCTATGATATATCAGACTTTTTTTTGTTTTGTTTTGGAGAGGCAATTGGAGTTAAGTGACTTGCCCAGGGTCACACAGCTAGTAAGCGTCAAGCAGCTGGTCTGAGGCCAGATTTGAACTCAGGTCCTCCTGACATCAGGGCCAGTGCTCTATCCACTGCACCACCTAGCTGCCCCATTAGTAGGCTCTTGGCTAGATTGTAAGAATCTAAACCCGCGGATAGATTATAAGAATCTGAGAAGTGGCTAGATTTTAAGAATCTAAGCCCAGACTTTTTAACTAATCATTCTTTTTGTTTGTTTGTTTGTTTGTTTTTCTGTCAAGGCAGTGGGGTTAAGTGATTTGTCTAAGGTCACACAGCTAGTGAGTGTTATGTGTCTGAGGTCACATTTGAACTCAGGTCCTCCTGAAACCAGGGTCGGTGCTCTATCCACTGGGCCACCTAAGTGTCCCCTTAACTAATCATTCTGTATTATGTTTCCTGTCCTCTGTTCTCTTGTACTTCCCAAAACTATATGAATTCTATTCTGGTGTTTATTTAGATATTTTTGTGTTTTTTTTCAAAAAATTTTAGTTGCATGTTCACTTTATTGATCTGATGTTTCCTTGTTTTCCTGATGTAATTTGTAATTATATTCATATAGTTCCTGGGTTTGTCTTAGCATGTAGACTCCAAAATATATTATAATCTCTACAATTATTTTCAAAGGAATTTCTGTTTCTGTCTCTTCCTGCTGGGTTTTGTTAGTAATATATGGAAATGCTAACGATTTATGTGGGTTTATTTTATATCCTGTAACTTTGCCAAAGTTGTTTCAACTAGTTTTTTTAGTTGATTCTTTAGGGTTCTCTAAATATACCAGCATATCATCTGCAAAGAGTGAAAGTTTTGTTTCCTCATTGCCTATTCTTATTTCTTCAATTTTTACTGCTATAGCTAGCATTTCTAGTACAATATTGAATGATAGTGGCAATAATGGACTTCCTTATTTCACCCTTGATCTAAGGCTTCTATTTTATCCTCATTACAAATAATGCTTGTTCTTAGTTTTAGATAGATACTACTTATCATTTTAAGAAAAGCTCCATGTAGATATTTTACATGCTTTCACATGTGTAACCTATATCAAATTGCTTACTGTCTCAAGGAGGGAGCAGGGCTTCCTGGATAGAATTTGGAGCTCAAGACTTAAAAAAATGAATGTTACAATTGCTTTTATATGTAATAGGAGAAAAATGAAATGTTATTATTAAAAAATGAAATAAGCATAAAAAGAAAAGCTCATTTATTCCTTGGCTTTATATCTATTGCTACAATAATATAATTTTTGTTGATATAGTCAATTATGCTTATAGTTTTCCTAATACTGAACCAGTCCTTCATTACTGATATAAATCCCATTTGGTCATAGTGTGTGATCTTTGTGGTTTATTGCTGTAGGCTCCTTGCTAGTACTTTATTTAATTTTTTTGCATTAATATTCATCAGGGGAACTAGTTTATAGTTTTCTTTCTCTGTTTTTGCTCTCCTTATTTTTGGTATCAAAACTACATTTGTATCACAGAAGGAATTTGGTACAACTCCTTTATTTTTTTCAAATAGCTTATATAGTATTGGAATTAATCATTCTTTATATATTTGGTAGAATTCATTTAGAAATTCATTGAGTTCTAACTTTTCATGCAAATAAAGATAGATCTTAACAATTAGAGAAATATTAATTGCTCATGGGTAGGTCAAGGCAATGATAAAAATGACAATACTATATAAATTAACTTGCTTATTCAAGGCCATACCAACCAAACTACCAAGGAATTATTTTATAGAGCTAGAAAAAAATAATAACAAAATTTATTTGGAATAACAAGAGGTCCAGAATATCAAGGGAAGTAATGAAAAGAAATGCAGGGGAAGGTGGCCTAGTCATTCCATATCTTAAATTGTATTATAAAGCAGTAATCAACAAACTACTTGGTACTGGCTAAGAAATACAGTGGTGGATAAGTGGAATAGCTTAGGTATGCAAGACACAGTAGTCAATGACTATAGCAATCTACTCTTTGATAAACCCAAAGACTCCAGCTTCTGGGATAAGAACCCACTCTTTGAAAAAAACTGCTGGGAAAACTGTAAAAGAGTATGGCAGAAACTAGGCATTGACCAAAATCTCACACCATACACCAAAATAAAGTCAAAATGGGTACACAATTTAGATATATAGGCTGATACTATAAGCAAATTGGGAAAGCAAGGAATAATTTACCTATCAGGTTTATGGAAAACAGAAGAATTCATGACCAAACAAGAGATAGAGAACATTACGAAATGCAAAATGGATAATTTTGATTACATTAAATGAAAAGTTTTGCACAAACAAAGCCAGTGCAACTAAGATTAGAAGGAAAGTAGAAAATTGAGAAAGAATTTTTACAACCAGTCTCTCTGATAAGGGCCTCATTTCTAAAATATATAGAGAATTAAGTCAAATTTATAGAATACAAGTCATTCCCCAATTGATAAATGGTCAAAGGATGTGAACAGGCAGTTCTCAGATGAGAAATTAAAGCCATCTATAATCATATGAAAAAATGCTCTAAATCATATTGATTAGAGAAATGCAAATCAAAACAACTCTGAGGTACCACATCACATATCAGATTGGCCAACATGACAAAACAGGAAAATGATAAATGTTGGAGAAGATGTGGGAAAATTGGAACACTAATGCATTGTTGGTGGAGTTGTGAACTGATCCAACCATTCTGGAGAGCAATTTGGAACTATGCCTAAAGGGCTATAAAATTGTGCATACCTTTTGACCCAGCAATAGCACTTCTAGGGCTGTATCTCAAAGAGATCATACAAATGGGAAAAGGACCCACATGTACAAAAATATTCATAGCAGCTCTATTTGTGGTGGCAAAGAATTAGAAATTGAGAGAGTGCCCATCAATTAGGGAATGGCTGAGCAAGTTGTAGTATGTGAATGTAATGGAATACTGTTGTGCTGTAAGAAATAATGAGCAGGCTGACTTTAGAATATCCTAGAAAGACTTGTATGGTCTGAGTGAAGTGAGCAGAACCAGGAGAACATGATACACAGTAACAGCCACCTTGTGTGATGACTAATGTTGATAGACTTAGTTCTTCTCAGCAATGCAAGGATCTAAGACATCTCCAAAGGTCTCATGATGGAAAATGCTATCCATATCCAAAGAAAAGACTATGGAGTTTGAATGCACATTGCAGCACACTATTTGCTATTTTTTTCTTCTGTTTTGTTTTGTTTTCTCTTTCTTATGGCTCTTCCTGTTGGTTCTGATTCTTCCTTGCAACATCACTAATGTGAAAATATGTTTAATAGGAATGTATATGTAAAACCTATATCAGATTGGATGCCATCTTGGGGAGGGAGGTGGGCAGGGAGGGAGACAAAAACTTAAAACCCAAAAGTTTATGGAAGTGATTGTTGAGAAATCAAAATAAATTAATAAAAAAAATTTTAAAAAAGGAAAGCTCCATGTAAATATTTTACATGATTTCACATGTATAACCTATATCAAATTGCTTACTATCTCAAGGAAGGAGCATGGCTTCCTGGATACAATTTGGAACTCAAGACTTAAAAAAATGAATGTTAAAATTACTTTTATATGTAACAGGAGAAAATGAAATATTATTATTAAAATAAAATAAGCATAAAAAGAAAAGCTCATTTATTCCTTGGCTTTATATCTATTATATCTATTGATATAATAATATAATTTTTGTTGATATACTCAATTATGTTTATAGTTTTCCTAATACTGAACCAGTCCATCATTACTGATATAAATCCCATTTGTCATAGTGTGTGTCTTTGTAATTTATTGCTGTAGGCTCCTTGCTAATACTTTATTTAAATTTTTTTGCATTATATTCATCAGGGGAACCAGTCTATGGTTTCCTTTCTCTGTTTTTATTTCTAACTGTTTTTGGTATCAAAACTACATAGAAGGAATTTGGTACAACTTCTTTATCTTTTTTTCAAATAGCTTATATAGTATTAGAATTAATCATTCTTTATATATTTGGTAGAATTCACTTAGAAATCCATTGAGTTCTAACTTTTCATGCAAATAAAGACAGATCTAAACAATTAGAGAAATATTAATTGCTCATGGGTAAGCCAATGATAAAAATGACAATACTATATAAATTTAACTTGCTTGTTCAGGGCCATACCCACCAAACTACCAAAGAATTATTTTATAAAGCTAGAAAAAAAATTCATCTAGAAGAACAAAAGGTAAAGAATATCAGGGGAATCAATGAAAATATATGAAGGAAGGTGCCCTGTGAGTGCCACATTTCAAACAATATTACAAAGCAATAATAAATCAGAACAAGCTAGCACTGGCTAAGAAATAGAGTGATGGATCAGTGGAATACATTTGGTATCTTATACAGAGTAGTAAATGGTCATAATAATCTAGTGTTTGATAAATCCAAAGATCCAAGCTTTGGGGACAAGAACTCACTATTTGACAAAAATTGCTAGCAAAACCAGAAAGCAGTTTGGTGGAAACTAGGTATAGACAATCATGTCACACTATATACCAAGAGAAGGTCAAATGGGTACAATTTAGCCATAAAGTAATATCATTAGCAAATTAGGGGAACATGGAAAAACCTTACCTGTGAGATCTAGGAATAAAGGAAGAATTGTTACCAAACAAGAGATAGAGATGATCATGGGAGGTAAAATGTATAATTGCGATTACATGAAATTAAAAAAACTTTCTCGCATAAAACCAGTGCAGTCAAAATAGAAGGAATGCAGGAAACTGTGGAGACATTTGTATAGCAAAATTTTTAAGTAAAGCCCTCATTTCTCAAATATGTAGGGAATTCAGCCAAATTTATAAAAATAAAAGCTATTTTCCAATTGATAAACGTTCAAAGGATATGAACAGGCAGTTTTTAGAAGAAGTCAAAGCTATCTAAAGACACATTTAAAATGCTCCAAATCAGGGGCAGCTAGGTGGCGCAGTGGATAGAGCACCGGCCTGAAGTCAGG